ACATCCAGTTTGCACAATGCCTACTTGACAACATTGTCAGCTTGGCACTTCTGTTGACGTTTGTGGCTGAACTGTCCCCTGCCCCCCCCCCTTTTTTTTTCATTCACAGACCTAAGGAGTGACACCCTATCAATACTCCTAATTTATTTATTTTAAAAATTTTTTGGTTAATCCTCAACAGAGGATATTTTTTCCACTTATTTTTAGAGAGAGTGGAAAGGAAGGGGGAGGAGGTAAGAGAGAGAAACATTGAAGTGAGAGAGACATCAATTGGTTGCCTCCCACCTGAGCCCCTACTGGGGCAGGGGAATCAAACCTGCAACCCAGGTACATACCCTTAACTGGGAATCAAACCGGAGACCCCTTGGTGCGTGGGCCTATGCTCTAACCACTGAGCCACTGACCAAGGCTTAATACTCCTAATTTATAATCTTAATCATATTCTCTCATTTACTGATTACAATCTTATTGCCAGTCTTTACTCTTTGGCAGGATTTCTGGAAACTTCAGTTAACACATGCAATTTTAAAATGAAATAGTTCTTTAAAATACAGAAAAAAATACAATTTTTTTTTTATAGAGAGGAAGGGAGAGGGACAGAAAGCCAGAAACATCGATGAGAGAGAAACACTGGTCAGCTGCCTCCTGCACACTCCCTACTGGGGACGTGCCCGCAATCAAGGTACATACCCTTGACAGGAATCAAACCTGGAACCCTTCAGTCCGCAGGCCGACGCTCCATCCAGTGAGCCAAACCGGTTAGGGCGAAAATCAGACTTTTCGTAGGAAAGGCAGATGTGCAGCTAACAATCATCCTTTGCAAATTTCTATGTTAAAGTTATAGGTTGTGAAAGGATTAGGACAGATTGGCACTATATTAGTGTGGATCCATGATTGGAAAGTGAATTAAAAACCATTTTTTAACATTAATAATTTTGCATGAAGTCTCAATCCATTGTGCTAATAATCTATATAAAAGCTTCTATATATAAAAATGAAGTATCAAAACCAAACTATGTTGTTTTAATATCTTAAAAAATAAGTCTGAAAACTTTATATAGGATCTTGGCTTACTTGTTCCCACACTTAATAATCTTATAAAAATTAAATTTTAGTTTATAACCTTCTATGAGGTGTGTGTGTGTGTGTGTGTGTGTGTGTGTGTGTTTGAAATTTAGTTTTGGCCTAGAATTTGGAAACAATTGCTTAAAATGCCATTTAGTCCAACTACTTCAATTTCAAGGCTGAGAGGCGAGTGGCTTTGCCTGCAATCAGTGTTAAAATCAGGGAAAGCATAGCTCCTGACAACTAGTAGGGCAATATGCCCTCACAGATAACCAAGCACTAAACATGTTGCTAATTAGGAACCTTGATTGATGTTTATTTTAAAACAAAAATCAAATGCATAATCAAATAAATCCATCTACTTTGTAGTAGACTTTGTAGACATGACTGTAGCTGTTGTCAAGGAAAATAACATCAAATTAGAAATTATATAACCCAGGTCATAAATGATGTAATCTAAACTGTGAGCTTTTAATTCTCCAAATGTTGAATTCTCAATTACAGTCTATAGTTATGTGTTTAATACATGTCTGTTGCATAAACAGACAAATGTCATTCTAAATCACTGCAGAATTAAGTTTCCTCATAACATTAGAAACTTCTCAACCTAGTCCAAAATCTTATTTTGGAAATCACTGGAACATAAAGGATATAGAGGATGAAAAGATGGTGGTGGTGTGGTGAAGTTCTACTTCTCTGATTTCCCAATCAATGAAAATTTAGAAGCTTTAGGGTGCTTAAATGAGAACAGTAAGTGCACACGACTTTGGTGTGAAAACATCTCACATTACCTTAGCCACACCTACTTGACCTTTTAGGTTAAGTAACACAAAAAGGTTTTAATATCCAAAGAAATCCTAGTTTAAGAGTATGGATTAACCCAGCCAGCTCAGTGGTTGAGCATTGAGCTATGAACTAGGAGGTAAAGGTTCGATTCCAGGTTGGGGACTTGATCCTGTGCAGGAGGTGGTGTGTGCAGGAGGTAGTTGATGCTATCTGCATTTCACAGGGAGGTGATTATTTCTAATTTCACCATAAACACACACACCCACATTTTTCCTATGCCTTTGAAAGATAATTTTGAGAACTGGTGCTACTTTTTCCCCTCCACTAACTATGAAAATGTGTAATATAATTTCAAATTCATGATTAAGAAAAGTTTGGTCTATTAAGAGAATGTCCCTTTATCAGAAACTTTAGGAATTCATGGATTTTTTTTTCTTTGAAATAACCTTTTAAAAGCAAGATGTGCCCAACCGCTGTAGCTCAGTGGTTGAGCGTCCACAGATGAACCAGCTCAGTTTGATTCCCGGTCAGGGAACATGCCCAGGTTGTGGGCTTGATTCCCCACTGGGGTGTGTGTAGGAGGCACATCAATGA